GCAAATGTAAGAACACAAGATTACCCACCCTTGTGGCATTTTTCAAGGTACGATTAGTTCCATGTGCAATCTGATTGTGTTGATCAATCGGATTATGTTGTTGCCTCGAACCTCAAGTCATTTTCTCGTGTTCGTTGGGGGGTGTGGGGGTTCATCTGAACCCTAATTTTTTTTTACAACGACTTGGCATTGTATACCCAAGCGCCCTGACACTGTGTTCTCAAGTGCTATGGTGTTGTGTTCCTGAGCGCCCCATTGTTGATCGACAGAGAGTAGAGTGCTGCAGCGCTCAAAACTAGTGCTGAAGCGCTTCGAGATGAATTGGACAGTTTTCTTTCTCATTTTTTCTCAAGGTCGGCATCCCCTAAAGTTATTAACTTGACTTTCTTTTTGTATGTGAGTAGTTAGAACATGGAGAACTGTGAGAACAGTGTAAGAGAAAAGAGAAGCAAGGAAAGAGTGAGAAGAGAGATCTGTACTTATTTCTCCTCATTTTTATAGTGTATTTCTTGGTGTGGTGTGGCTCGATTATTTTTTTTCCTATTTTGGGTTTTTCCACGTTAAATCTTAGTATCCTTGTAGTTTCTACTGCCTTTTTACTTTCTTGTTTGTTTCATTGCAGTGTTTTACGTCCATCCCCAATAGAAAGAACACAATGACCTACGAATATGAATATACCAATTTAGATGTTTTTTAGCAACATAAATAAGTTTTATGATGAGTACATCAGCATGAGATTTCGACGCGTCTATCATTAGAGAAATTGTAGATCAATGACTACGATTCAATATGATTCAAAGTCTTTATTTATGATGCATTTATGTATTTTATTTTATTTATGTACTAGTGTATCATTGTACCCCCAAGAGGGATGAGTTTATGTTGTGGCCCCGAGGGCATTTGAGTCTTTGGGTTTTTCTTTTATTTGAGGCCTATATATGATGGCCCTCCCTATTGTGATGGATAATGATTGATTAATGAAAATTTTCATCTTTCTAGTTCCCTTGAGTGTTAAGAGCTCTAGAGAATGAGAAGTTCCTAGGTGAGGGCAAAGGAAATACCCGTCAGCCATCGGAAGAGTCCGAGCTCACGGTCTACCTCCACATCTCCTTCCCCATCACCGGCTACCTTCCCTTTTCCTCCCAACCAACGGCCCCTTCCCCCATGTCCCCCAAACCACCGGCCAAATCCCCCATCTCCACCCTATCCGCCGGCCAAATCCCTACCTCCACCCTAAAACCGCCGGCCAAAACCATCCTTCTCCCCCATCACCGCCGGTCTCCGTCCGTTCTTTCCATACCGCCAGCCCTAATTCCCCTAACCTTAGCCGTCAGCCAAACCTATCCCAAGCCCCCTTGAATCCAATTCAATTACACCATTATTGCTTTCCTAACTTAGCCCATATCTTATTTGGAAATTTTCTTAATTCAAATTCCAATGAATTTGAATTTTAAAATTTTTCCTAAATAGACTACACCTATTTTAGGAATTTCCTCAATCACCATACATTTAAAATTAATTCAGATTTGATTCCCCAAGCAACAATTAATGCAACGGTCCACATACATTGAATGTGGACACTCTTTCCCCCCTCCTTGGTCAGCCCCCTCCCTCTCCCTTTCTCTCTCCAATTAATCCCCCCTATTAATTAAAACCCCTTAATCCCCCACAAAAGCTGTCGGCCCCTCTCTACTCTCACTTAATTAATCCCCCATTAAGGGAGATTTGAATTTCAAATTTATTCCCTCCCTTTCCATTCAAAACCTGAAATTAAAATTTAGATTTTATTTATTGCCTCCCCTCCCCCATAAACCAAAACGGAAAATAAAGAAGCGTCTTCTCCTAGCCTTGGCCGAAGTCCTCCAACCTCCCCTCCCCCCTTTCTTCTCTTCTCCACTACTTCAGAAACCTCCAAGCGAGATGCTACGCAAACCGGCCTCCATGAATGATCAATCCTTAAAGAGATTATGGCTTCGTGTATGATCTTCAAGGACAAGTAGATATTCTCCGGTCTCCCTTCTTCAACCTCGAATTGGAAATTGATGACACCGTCGATGACTACGACGACTAGATCTTTTTCACTCTGACATCTGCCATAAAAAAGCACCAAGTCTCTGGATAGTGGCGAGTTATTGGACATCCATCGACTTCTTCCCCTCCGGCTAACCTTTCGTTGGGCAATATTGCAAGCATTTTCTATCTTTTGGTGACATCTTTAAGTTTGTAATCGCAAGAGAGAAAGTTAGGAAAACTCAAGGTGAAACTTAATATTTATTAACCGGTGGATTTCTGTTATTCATGCATCTAGTTTTACTTTAATTTTGTTGTTATTTTAAATTGCCCTGCTAATCTAGTTTGTAATCGCATGCCAAATCACATCGTCAACTAAGAAATCCTAAAATATAATCTTGTGAAACATTAATTTTAAAATTAGCAAGCTTAACATATTTTTATTAAATTCATGCAATTCCTATTATCATCCCCTACTCCCACTCCTACGGCACCAACCTCTACCAATATTAAATTCCTGCAATTCCTATTGCCATCACCCACAACCACGTCTTCCTCAGTTACACCCTCTAATCTATCTATTTCATTACCCCCCACCACATCTATTACCAACGCCAACCTTGAGCCTCCTCCACACCCCCACTGATTCTACCAACTCATCCCATGCAAACCAGACTGAAATCTGGAATCTCTCGACCCAAGCCTATCTTTGATCTTTTGATCACCACTACAACTCAACTTACTCCTAGCACTTACTACCAAGCCATCAAATCTCAACATTGGGGGTCCTCCATGTCTTCAAAATTTCTTGCTCTCCAACAGCAAGGTACCTGGTCACTCGTCTCCCCTCCACCAAATACACCCATACTAGGCTTTAAATGGACTTTTAAGACTAAAGTCCATCCAAATGGCCAAGTAGAATGATACAAAGCTCTCCTCGTCGCCAAAGGGTTCACCCAACAATTCGGTATTTAAATATACTGAAACCTTAAGTCCCGTGGCAAAAATGCCAACCATACGCATACTCCTCATTGTGGCTCTTCATCGCTGGTGGTCTATTCTTCAACTAGATGTATCCAATGCATTCCTTCATGGTGATCTTCAAGAAGAAGTGTACATGAGACAGCCGCCCGGGTTTGCAGACACTCAACATCCCAACTATGTATCCAAACAGCACAAGTTGCTCTACAAACTCAAGCAAGCGCCTCGTCAGTGGTTCCATAAACTTACCACACTTCTCCAACACTTCGGTTTTGCCTTTAGTCGTTCTGACCATTCTCTTATGCTATTTCATCATAATAATATTGAAGTATATATATTAATCTATGTAAATGAAATTCTAGTTACAGGAAATGGCACAAACACCATTCAGAAGCTTTTCACTCATCTCAATTTGCATTTTAAACTTAAACAACTGGGCAATGTCTCTATTCCTCGGCATTCAAGTCATCAACACACCCACCGGCCTATTCATTAATCAGACACATTATGCTACTAATCTGTTGTAGACTGCAGGTTTTGCCTGCTGTAACCCACTCTGACGCCAATTACTTCCAAATCAAACTCTCGCTGCCTTCCTGATCAGCTCTACTCCTACCCTCAGCTTTACCACAAACTGGCTGGCTCCCTCCAATATATGTCCATCAGCAGACCGGACATTGCCTTTGCCACCAACGCCATCTGTCAACACATGCACGCGCTGACACTACACGATTATCAAGCTCTTAAAGGACTACTTAGATACATCAAAGGAACCTTACACTTTGGTCTTCCTCTAACAATTGGAGATCTTCAACTCAGTACCTACTCAGACGCTGATTGGACTGCTGATTCAAATGATCGAAAATCCATTTCAGAATTCTGCTCCTTCCTCGGAAACAATCTCATAACCTGGTCTGTGAAGAAGCAAATAACTGTTGCCAAATCTTTCACCGAAGCTGAATACCGTTCGCTCTCTTCTGCCACTTCTGACGTTCTCTGGCTTCGCCGCCTCCTTGCTGAGTTCCAATTTCCTCAAAGCTCACCCACAGTCATCTATTGCGACAATACCTCCGCCATTGCCCTAGCCAACAATCCAATATTTCACGTCAGAACCAAGCACATAGAAATCGACTATCACTTCATCAACGAGCACATCAAATCCGGAGAAATTCTCATCTCTCACCTCAGCTCTTAAGATCGATCGTAGAGATACTTATGAAATCATTCCCAACAGCTCGCTTCACTCAACTCCGTCACAAATGAACCATCAAAACCATGGATGTTTAATTGTGGGGGGCTGTTAGCACAAACTTCAATCAGCTGCTTATGTGTCCATCTCACCTAGTGATATCCTTGTATACATTGTCTATAAATAGAGGCTTCCTGTGCATTTTCAATAATAATAATGCAGACTCATCTTCTTTCTTCTATCTTCCTTTCTCTCTGTCTCCTCTCAGCCAGCGGGTCTTCACTCAGATGTCCTTTTAGAAAGTTGCCCATGATCAAAGAAGAGAATAATCTAAAACAGCGTAATCTCTTTGCAACTTAGGCCTCATTTGTTTCGGCATTTTTCTTTTCTTTTATGTTTAGAAACGGAGAAATTAATTTTTGGTCGTTGTTTAGATGTGACGCTTTTATAGAAATGCTTTTTAGGAGACTTCATTTTTCTATTTTTTTGAGAAGTTTTTTGATATTTATTTCTCCGTTAGAAAACTCCATTTTCTTAATCATTATTTTTAAATTTATCTTTTTCAAAAGAACAGGATGAACCAAACGAAACCTTATAGACAAACGGCAGTGGGAGTAAGATGTTGGGTGAAACTTTAGTAAAATTTCGCTTAAAATATACAATATTGTGATTTAAAGGTCATAGTTTCCTGTCATAGAAAGTATTTGGAGATCACAGGTCCCAGTCGCACAGAAACTTCCCACTCCACATGCTCTTTTTTTTTTTTCCTTAAATTTAGTGAACCAGCGTATTATAACAATCTAACTTTGTTTATGTTCAGGTTCTTTGTGCAATTGCCTCCTTCCAGAGGCCATGAAAGTTTCTACAATCCGCCATGATCCTGATTCAACCTACGAGGAGAAGACGCGGCTCAAGAGCTCTTTCGGCTGCCTATCTTCGATTTCATTGCGTCAGAGACAGTTATCTTCTTCCTCTCTGCTACTGCCTTCGCCGCTGAAAGGTTGCCTTACTCCATGGGAGTTAAGAAAGTCTGCTTCTATCCGGTTGAAAAACAGGTGAAAAAGAACCTTTCAATCTAATTTAGTATCCTTTCTAGAGCGTATTTGTTGATATTGGTTAGTCTTTTTCATCATCCCTCCTTCAAAAACAGCATCAAGTGGCTGTCAATCTTGTATCAATCTTCAACTGGAGAATTGTTTATTTTTCATTTCTTGATCGTTTAGGTAGCTTTTCTTTTGTATTTTAGAAACATTTGAGCTTTACTAAGTGACTGTGTGGATGATGATTTCTTTTCAATCTTCTATTATTTCCTTTTTTTTTTCTTAGAAGGATGACCAATTTGTGATATAACTGTAGTGGAAGATGTGGACTCCTTTGGTTTTTGTCTTCTTTGTATGAACTTTTATTAGGTCCGGTGTAAGGATGTAGAGGAACGTCCGGTCGGAGGCAAAATTCCGCCAAAAACCTCGGTATTTGCTCGTATTAGAAAATTATCTCAAATGAAGCTTAAATGTGTATCTTAGAAAATGAAGTCAAGAACATAATGTGTAATATGGGTGTGGTGAGCTATAAATTAGCTGAGCTAAATTATTATTTTGGTTAAAGGAAAAAATAATCAAAATGATCTCTTAATTTTTTTTATGAATGATTAAAATGATTTTTAATTATATTAAATGATTATTTTTGTCTCTTTAAGTTTTCAAAAAGGGATCAAAATTATTTTATGATAGGATTATTTTAGTTTCTCTTTAAAGAGTTGAGAAATCAAATTGTTATTTAAAATAGTTGCAGATTATTTTATTCCTTTATAAATAGTCAATGAATTATTTTGATTTTTTTCTCTTTTGATTAAATTTATTCATTATTTTATAGGGAGCAAAATTATACAAAATGAATTGTGTAATAGTGCTAGGCATAATAGGAGAAATATATGCAAACATAGAGCAAAAGGTTAAAAAAAAAAAGATGATTGCATAAAACACAAAAAAATTAGAAATTATCTCTATCTCTTCTTGTCTCACATGACTTCTTTTTTTTCTTTTTTCACTCAAAATAGGCTATGGTACACTTTTCAATACACCAAAAGAAGAAACCTTTAACTAAAACAAGAAAAATTAGAAAGAAAATTGCCTCGCCTAGCATATAACATTGTGGTTAATTTGGAGCGCCACAATGCTCTACTTTGTCTTCATCCTGACTTGCAGCACAGTGGTGCTGGCTTTGAAGTGCCGTGGTGCTGAACTTTCTAAGTCAAGATTGTAACACCTCCACGTTACATCATACAATGTTGCAGTGCATTACGTGTGCAACACTGTAAGCCACTAATGTACAGCACCATGATGCTATACGGCTTTACAGGAAAAGAAATTTCAGGCCAAGGCCCTTGGAGCCCAAGCAAGAGGTGACTCCCTTGCAATCCTCAATGAGCTCGATTAACGAAACTGAGGTATGAGTCAATCATACAACCTGATTGATCGATACAATCAAATTAGGTTTTTTGTTCTATTAATAAAGACGGATTTAGGGGAAATTATTGGTAATCTGAACACATCTGATAAAGAGCCTTTCTACTTATAAGCAACTAAACTTGATTCGTCAATACAAAATTATCTTATCAAGCACTAAGACATTTTCAGCCCTCAAAGCACTCAACAATATATAGTAAAAAAATTAGGAATTGATTTTGGAGAAATATAAACTCTATTTTTAGTAAATTTATAAATGAAATAGGGAGATCAGGTGAGATGAATCTAATAATACCAATAATAACCGGATTCTCAATCCAATTAGATTTAAGTCCAGCATTCACAAATATGATTGGAAACTTCTCGAGGCTATTTGAGGGCTCAATACCCTGTAAATTTTGTGCTTAAATTAAAAAAAAAAAAATCAGTGTTGCTGCATCCTGGAGTATTCGAGGCGGTACAGAAATATATAGTATTTGCAGTCGATTACAAATGAGGCCCTACCTTGGGAGAAAGCATTGACTTGATGTCACTAATGTGCATCATATAGAGCGCATTACATGGTGGCCCGGGAGAAGTCCGGACCTCAGTTGGTGTTTCAGCAGAAGTCCGAGCCTCAGGTGGTGGTCCGACAGAAGTCCGGGCCTCAGGTGGTGGTCCGACAGAACTCCGGGAGTCAAGTGGCGGTCCGGTAGAACTCCGGGCGTCAGGTGGTGGTGCGGCAGAACTTCGGGTGTCAGGTGGTGGTCCGGCAGAACTCTGGGCGGTATATGGGGAGTGGCTTGGATGGACAACCGATGTTGAATCTCTTGATCATGGACCATTTGATGGACATTTGAATGTCTTAGTGATGTTGGAATTCAGTGATCTTGGGCTCGTTGGATTCGACTTGTCGATCCGCTCGATTCGACTATAAGCAAGTCATGTTTGGAAACTGTTGGGTAATCCAAATTGTGGTTTGAACCTTCGAACAGAGCTTCGGGTCCTCGATTCGTACCCATTTGGGCTTGGATTGAGTTGAATTTTGTGACGTTGGGCTCGTATTTCCAAGACGTTCAGTTCAACTATAAGTTTGCTGAAATCGGAGTTTGGATGTTCCCAATTTTAATTTGACTATAAGAATGACACTTGATTTTTCCTCGAGATTTGTGCCCGATCAAGAAAACATTTTGAAGACATATCAAGGGTCATGACTAGAGGAGTTGATTGTCTTCCGACGCCTACTAACACCCGAAAGAATTTTTATTGCCTCAGGTTACCTGACGTAGAGATACATCAGGTAGCCTATAATATATCGCCACGTGCTCTTACTCTTTACCGCGCGGCCCGACGACCCAACCCGGAACGAATATTGCTCAGTATTGAACATATATCGCCAAAGAACTCGGTATTGCTCGGTGTTGAGCTCGGTATTGAACTCGGTATTGCTCGGTATTGAGCTCGGTATTGCTCGGTATTGAACTCGGTATTGCTCGGTATTGAACTCGGTATTGCTCGGTATTGAGCTCGATATTGAGCTCGGTATTGCTCGGTATTGAACTCGGTATTGCTCGGTATTGAGCTCGGTATTGCTCGTTTTTGCTCGGTATTGCTCGGTATTGGTCTTCACATAATAGTATTTTTCATTTTTGTCGAGTAAGATCGAGCAATACCTAGCAATACCGAGCTACACAAACTCCCGGGTCCATTTTGGGTTGGGTCGTCGGGCCGCGCGGAAAAGAGTAAGAGCACGTGGCGATATATTATAGGCTACCTGATGTATATCTACGTCAGGTAATCTGAGGCAATAAAAATTCCAATATCTGATGTCGATTAGCCAACAAAGTCTGACGTCAACCTTTTTGGTCTCCTAATCTCTCATCCAATCAGGAGTACAACTAAGCTGATTATCAACTGCCACATGAATTATGATGTTTCTTATCGATCATCATTGAAGGCCTATTAGTAACTAAAATCCAGAGCTCATTAGCTATTAACATCTGATACCCATCTTTTGAGTTGCTCGATCTCCCTTCCCATCAGAGAATGATTAAGGTTTCGTTTGGGACGACTTTTTTTCTGCTTCTTAAAGCAATTTTTTAGTATAAAAATTAATTTTTTTTACTAGAAAGCTGCTTCAAGAAGCAGTAAAAAAGCCGTCCCAAACGATGCCTAAGTCGATTATAAATTGTCACTCAATGCTAGTTAATAACATATGTTTGATGTCGATCAACCTCCAACATTTGACGTGTCAATCATTGACATCCAATACTCGTCTTTTTTATCACTCACTTGTCTTTTGACTATTCATCTGGCTTCTAATACTCTTCATTAACCATCATCCGGCGCTTGCCAATGATCTTCATCGAGCACTTATTATGATAAGCCTACAACTAACTATATCCATGCTTTATAACGAATAATAAGTATAATGGTGATTGATAATGATCATAAATGAAGTTTTTTTTAGGTATGAAGAAATAGTTTCTACTGAATAGTTATTTTTTTGTTATTTTCAATATTATGATCTTGGTTAGATTTTGATTTCTTTGAGGTGCTGTGCAAGAGCTGCTGCCAATTTCAAACCTTAAATATATTTTTGATAATAATTTATAATTAAAAGTAACTAAAACAAAAATAAATATCTGAAAATTCATACTGAAGAAGCTGACAGAATTGTTGAAAATACAGATTTTAAGATGTACGAAAAACTGAAATTAAACACAGGTTGGGATAATTTTTTGGTTATTTTGCTTTTTAGATAATCATTAAAATTTTATTTGAATATTATTTTCATATTATTTTTCACTATTTTAAAGAAGTTATGCAGTAAAAATTTATTTTTTACAACTAAAACAGCTAAGAGCAACTTCATAATCAACTTTATTAAAAGCTACAGCTATCCAGTTTTGACTCTAAATAATGATGAAGAACACGATATGAAAACTGAATTGAAGAGATAAATTCAGGCCTGATATTATCTCATGGATCTGTATACATTGGAGAGGATAGTGAACATGTATGGCTGTAAATTGTCTAATTAAATGCAGTAATTGGCTTCATTTTTTTAATGCAGAATGCTCTGTGAAAACTTGGATCCTTCTTCTGTTGTTCCATTCAATGAGAAGCAGTTTCGTTACCTCAATTACTTCAAGGAACAACCCTCTTAATTCTAGTATCAACTTCTGGTTATCTTTTCAAGTAGTCTTTTGTCTAGCCGAAGATCCGAACCTGATCCAAAAATTTTGGGTTTAGGGTTCGAGATTTCAACCCATTTGTAAAATCGGGTCTGGTTCGTGTTGACACGAAAACCCGAAAATGACCCGGAATGACCCGAGTTGCCCACGTTGCTCGAGCTGACAAGCCTTCCAGCTGCGCTAAACCGCCTGCTCGTTGCACTGAACCTCTTGCTCGCGTCGAGTCCCGAGGCGAGACTCCCGCATAGCATTGCGTCCCCGTACCATTGTCCCGCGTCAGCCATTAGGCGTTGCGTCGAGTACGCCGCTGACCCGAACCTAGGAGTGTCAATTTTTGACACGATCTGAAACCCTACCTGGAAAAATCCGGGTTCGGGTTGACCCGTTTGTGAAACGAGTCGGGTTCTGGTTGAACAAACCGACTAGTTTCAAAAATCGGGTTAGGTTCGGGTTGACACGGCAACCCAATAATGACCCAAAACCCGCTGCCCGCTCTTGCTTCCTGCCCTGCCCGATACGTCGAGTGCTTGGCTGCTCACCCGCATTGCCTGAAGCGTCGAGTTGTAGTCGCTTCGAGCTGTCTGAAGCGTTGAGTCCAGTCGTGTGACTGGTGGGACGCGTCACTCGGTCGCTGCTTTGCTTCACGTGCGCCGCTGCTGCCGCTTCGCGCCTTTGCGTGCTGCCGCTGCTTGGCCTCGCGTCGCTGCTGCCGCTTCGCCGCTTCACAGGTCAAGTCGTGTCAACCCGGCAACCCGCACGGGTCATGTCCGGGTTGAGAAAGCCAACCCGTTTGTAAAAACGAGTTGGGTTCGGGTTGACCCGTTTAGAGCCGGGTCAAGTCGAACCCGACTCGTCGACCTGAATTGACACCCCTACCCGAACCGGAAGCACGCCTGTTTCCTGAAACGGATCGTATTCAAGTTGATCTGAAGAGTATCGGATCAGTTCCGGGTTCCACATGAACCCGCCCCTTGATCGAAAATTGACAGCCCTATATTATCTCACTTCATCAAATTATGCCATTCTTTTGCCTGATGATCTGTACCTTTTCCATGTTCCTTGACCTGGCCTGCAAATCATGTAGCCTGATTTTGTTAACTGTCCAAGAGAAAGCTCATAAGAACAAGTTTTATTGTTAAGTACCACTCCATATTTTTAGCGTTCATACATTAAATAATGCTCTAATCAACGCTCCATGCTCGACAAATGATTAGAACAAATCCTCTTTCATTGGAAAGGAGAAGAAGAAAAACCAAAAAAGATACATTCTTGCTTAACGCATTTGCCATAGCATCCTACAATAGAGGAAAATATCTAGATAAGCATCATAGTGGCATGCCTCTCCTCCTTCTAAGTGGGGCACTTCACATGGAGTTTCGAAGTGTCTCTCTCAGCTGCAGCAATAATAGGTTTTTTTTATGATAGATACCTGTCCCAATTTATTTTCTGATGGCAAAAATCAAAGCCATTTGAAGGAAAAGGGACCTAGTAATTTTATACTGTTTTACCCACCGAGGCTTAGGGTGTTCGATGGGAAATAACTATTGGTCCTCTCTCTCTCTCATTATAGGAGTTAGTTTGTTCAATAGAGAATTAACTCATTAAAGAAGAAAATGAAAGAGAAAATGGAGAGAATCCGTAGTAATTTGGAATTCAACAAAATCAACATGAATCAACTATCAAGGTATGTTTTCTTCCGATAGAAATCTTGTGAATATCATCCTGTTTAAGATCTTGTGAATTTTTTAATTTATGTAAATTCATGTTTTCATTTCGATTTCTTTTACATAATTTATAATGCGAGTTCTTGTAAGAGTTAGAGAACTCATAATGCATGTTACGAGTTCTCGTAAAAGTTAAAAGAACTTAATCATAAAGAAAGTTCGGATAAGAATTAGAAATCTTATATCTTATGAGGAATTCAAATACCCCTTAAAAAAATAGTTTTAAAAACAATATAGATCTTTCAAACTCAGCAAATTTTGACTAATGAGCCCATGTTCATAGCATTTTGATGGTAATTTGTTGAGTTTCAAAGGTAAGATCTGGATGTCATTTTCAAAGGGGTGGGGCGCCGGTTCAACATGGCCATGCTCTTTCCATGGCCCCATCTATATACAAGTCTAGGAAGGATTTGGTAAATGAACCTATCAAGAAGAGATCTGAGGCAGAGGTATCCAGATTTGCACGCAACTCACATGCCTAAGGGCCCCTCAAACTGCCGAACACACTTACATGATTAAATCTGACTCTCCTTTGGATTATTACTCGGATCTTTGTGGATAAGAAGCCATCCAAGAGCATTCAATAACGTTGGCGCTCTGCTCCCCGCTTGAAAGAGGGCAAATTATTAGGTCCAGTCACCTGACAGAGAATCATCCGAATTTCTCTTTGTCTACAGTAAAAATACAGTCAAAGCGCAGTTACTATAGTAGTTGCGCTTTTACTGTAGACTAAGAGAAATCCGAATGTATCTCTCTGCTATATGACCAGACCTAATAATTTCCCTTGAAAGAGACATGTAGTGTGCAAACTCTCTGCTTTTTGAAGAAAGGTTGACTCTAATGGCACAAAAATGGAATTTTTTTCATAACATTCTGAATGCTATTCTTATTTTTATATGAAAATTTGAGTAAAGAACAGTTTCTTGTCTCTTATGGAAAATTCTGTTGGATTTTGAAATATTTCAAGAACTATTAAGGAACATTAGACAATTGGAAATGACATAATCAATAAAAGATCATAGTTTCATAAAGCTCAAAATTTGAATAGTAATAAGCCACATGATGCATAGAAAGTGCTTGGAAAGCATGCTTTCAAATGATTTCATCAATGGAAGATTTCATAGCTCCATTAAGTTCACCAATGGAGAAGGCCATAGATGTTTGATCTGGGATAGGGAAAGATCCAGTGTCCTGAAACAAATTGACCAGTACTTTCACATCACAAATAAATGAAATCATCATTTACCCAAACCCAATGTGAGTACCAAATCGTCCTCTACCCCAACCTCATGAATCCTCTCCCCTTCCCATGGCTTGACCCTCATGCTCTCAAATTCAAATTCAATGGCGCTTAGGCTCCTTTCGAGTATCCCTCCTGCAACCACAGCAGACTCTGGCATTAGACGAGCTCGATTGACCAAGTTGAAAGTGGGAGATGCAGGAGCAGTATTCTGCAAACTGGCCCAACGGTTGGAATCGATAGTAGAAGAATCAGACTCATCACATTCAGGTATCGTCGCCGGATGATGGTGATGTCGGTCACGGGTGGGGCTGGCCGGGGCTGAGGCCAGAAATAGAGGGTGGCCATGGTAGGCGGTGTAGCTCCAGTCAGGCTTCCTAAGCTTCAGAGGCCGGGAAGATGGGGAGGAGAGTGGAGGGGTCACTGGAGCGCTATTGGAGATGCGGAGAGGAGGAAGTGATGAGAGGTTTCGTATGAAAGGGAGGATATAAGAGGTATTGATTCTGTTGGGATTATCAGAATTCTCAAGTCGGGAGGGGCTTGGGAAGGACGAAGATGTTGGGCTCGCATGGTAGGAAGGCACAGGGCTGGTGAAGGCCGAAGATGGAGGGCTGGTGAAGGCTGAACTTGGGCTTATGTAGTTGGTACATGGGGCTCCTGCTGTCGCCTCCGGTGGTCGTGCGAGTGGCTTGCTTCCCTGCAAACCACAAGATCAGAGCTTGGAGACTTAGCAGAAATTACTTCATACAGATTTTCAAGGAAACACAATGAAAAATGACTGATAAACGAAGAAACAAAACCCTAGATACGAAATAAAGTCAAGAACAAAATCGAAGGTAGTTAGAGAGGAGGAAAAATCGAACCTTGCGATAAGTTGTGCCGTCCTCCTCGACGACCCAGCCGGCCTCAGCGCAGAGGGCTTTAAGTACCTCGTTGTTGTCGCAATGCTTCGGAAGCTTATAGTTGCCGAGGTTTCTCAGACCAGAGAAAATCTTGGCGGCGATGGCTCTCCTCCTCCTCTCCCTCCTCTTGTTGTTCTCTCTCTCCTTCCACGTCGGCATCCTCCCTCCCCCTGAAGTCATCTCTTTTCACTCCACTCTTCTTCTTTCTTCTCCCTTCTTCCAATTATCTCCAACTCAATCAGTCTTATTTGAACAAAGGAGTAAGAAGTTCAGGAGGAGAATTGATGGATTCTTTCCAAGTTGCAGAAGGAGGGAGCCCAGTTCTCACAGTAACTTGATAAAGATTTTTAAAATGATTAATCTAAGATCGTGATATCAAAACAAAACTCTTACACGTCAAATTTACATTTTAGCATATAAATTAAAGAAAAAAGTTACAGTCGTTCACTCTCTCTCTCTCTTCTTTTGAGGAGTAGAGGGGGGCCTTCTTTGGCTTTGTGCGGTCTTCTTCCCCTCGCCTTCGTATTCTGTCTTCTGTAAGAGCTTTGACTCAGGCAAGGCAAAGAAAGTGACTGTTTTGTCCTGCGTACTTGCAGGAATAAATATTGTTTTTCTCTTACTCCAAACTGAATGGCCCTCGCCTGGCTTCGGAGCAGTTTGAAGCCTTTGCAAATTACTAAGCCTTTGGGTTGTTAAACCCCATGCTTTGGTTTCTTTGTAATTTTCATTTTTTGTCCCTCCTTTAAGCTTGTTGTAACCACCCTCTTTTCTTATTGGAATATATTTTGGTTTAAAAAAAATCGATTTCTTTTAAAAATTTTCTTACCCAATAGAAATACGGATAAACATTTCAATGAATTAAGGACACATTTGATTTAATTAAAAATTGTGCTCTTAGATATTCATCGTTTGCTTGGATGGTTGCTTTTGAGGAGAGGTTATTACCTACAGTGTCTGAAATTTTCGGAAGGTGAATCCGGACGAGTTATGTCACCCGGATGCACAGGGCCCCGGGTGACAGGGTGATATGGCGCGTCCAAATTAATCCGGACGCTGCACGTAATAATTTTCCGCTCTTTTGTGAGGCTTAAGATCGCGGATGTGCTTATTTGGAGATCTATTGAGACCAATCCCACATGTTTCTTATGCTTCAATTCGATTGAGTCCAATTTACATCTTTTATTTGATTGTGATTTTTCCTTTTCTTTGATTTCTATTCTACTGTCTTATATGGATATGTTCTTTCTTAGACCACTATGCTTCAGTTGTTTGATTATTTTGCTAGCTTGCCCCAATTTAATGCGAAGGAAAAGAATTTCAGCTACTTTTCTATATGTTGTTCTTTGTATTTTTTTGTGGAGAGAAAGAAATGATAGACGACTTGCTTAGAAATGGAGCAGTTCTTCATTGGTTTGCAATAATAATAGAAAAACTATTTCTTTCTAAGCGACCAAATGGAAATATTTTGATAGGCTAAATATTGTTTGTCCCAACTATTCTAATGTGGTTTTATGATTTATGGGATTATTCTTCTTGCGTGTTGATTCAGTTGTTATTTGGGAATGTTGAGCATCATATATGTATATTTTTGACTGCTACATAATTACATGATTATTGTATTATATAATAATGAAGAGAATTTGTTATTTTTATATTTTGAATATCAATTAAGAGGTCTTGGGTTCGAGTCTTACGTACGCGATGTGTTGGAATTTCCCTTATTTGGAATAAATGTCGTAGAAAATCCTTATAATGTACTAATTTCGAAAAAAAAAAATGATACACTTGTCCTTGCAATGTAAATGTTAAAATTGCTATTCAATAGAAAAACATGATAATTATTAGGTGTGTCAATATTTGACACGACATGAAAATGAGATGATAGATCCCTATTCCCAATGAATTGTGAGAATTTTGAAAAAGATCCTGAAGAATTTGACAAATTTCTATTCCGCTTTTGTGAAAGCTCTTTACATGTGAAATTTATACTGATTTGAAGTGACCTATCTGTCCAAATTCTAAGTATTTATCGATTTTTTATAAAAAAATTGTGTCAATAAGATGTGCTATGCTAGGGTTTCTGGTTCGCGCTGTCTCCTTCATCGATGCATGCTTCTCTGGCCTTCTCAGGGAAGTTTCCTGCACTAATATCTCTCGTTTTTGCTGATTTTTCTAGCTATGGAGGGTAAACGGCTAGTGGATCATGATTTTTTGACAGGAAATCCCTCTTCTTGGTCCTTTTGTGAGGCTTTAGCGGGTTCTTCTTTTGTTTTAAACTCTTATTTCCCTGAGCTTAAGATTCCGTCTTTTCGGGGGCTTCCATCGCTTTGGATTTCGGATGAGGAAGTTCTAATTCTTGCTGCTTCCTTTGAGTTTGCGCTTGTTGGTAAATTTCTGACTCATAGACCTACGCTGGAAGCGATTCGTAATTTTTTTTTTCAATCTCAAACTTAGTGGGGTTTTCTCGGTCATTGTCCTTAACCCTAAGCATGTTCTTATCAAGCTTGAGAATGACATGGATTACTACCGCGTTTTTTCCCATCATTCATATTTTGTGAACAACTGTTTCATGAAGATTTTCAAATGGTCCCCTACCCTTGATGTTGATGTTGAATCTTCTTCTATCCCAATTTGGTTTTTTTTTCCTAGTCTCCGGCCGCACCTCTTTGCCCCGAGGATTTTACAGGGGCTCGGTTCCATGTTTGGTAAACCTCTTAAAATTGATCAGGCCACTTCCTGTAACATCAGTTTGCTCCAGAATCGTCCGGACCGATCGTCGATCGTCCCGGGACGATCAGTTCAAATTTTGTTCCAGAATTGTACAGAAGTTACAGGAATGTTTTTCCTCCCAGGATCGTCCGGGCCGATAGGGGATCATCCCGGGACGATCAGAGTAATTCACAAGTCAGAGAATAGGGGTTTTTATCGTCCAAGAAAATTAATTATCGTCCTAAGAAATCGTCCCAGGATGATGTATTTTTGTTCAGATTGTCCAGGACGATCGTGCGATCGGCCGGGCCGATCATAAGGTTATTTAATGAAAATCAGTCGTTTGGAAGAGAGAGAAAAATCAAAATAAAATATCTGAAATTCTGAGGAGAGAGAAAGTCGAGGGCAAAAGAGGAAAAGTTGATTTTTGGGCAACGCCGGGCCTTTTTCGTCCGTCAAGACAGTTCAAGAAATTGGTGTATGCAAGGTAAGATACATTCCGCCTTTCTCAATTTTCAGAACGGTGAAGTTTGAACGAATTTTCTGTCCGGATTTCGTTTTCGTTAGCGAATTTCGTCCGTATTTTCCGATTGGTTCAGTTTTTACCGCGTAACTTTTG